TGTACTCCTCTTAAGATAACTAATACTATTATTACTATCATCATTACTCTCGTCAATAATACCGCTACCACTGACTTCAGTCCTACTGTAATAATTATTTTAATCATTACTATAATCAATTTCATATTCCATTACTCAAACCGAGCCTAAGGCTTCACGCTCCGAAAGGTGAATTTCTCTAAGTTTCGTCAGAACTTAGAACTACTTGAAATATTTTTGTATATATATGTTATACTTTAGCTCATTACTTTGGATATTTCCATTTTCAATGCCTTTTTTATTGTTATTTAATTTTCTCCACGATCATTTCGAACAGGATGCTTTGGCTTATTTTTCCGAGTGGTTAATTTACTGCTTGCACTTAATTTGCTGCCATTTGCTTTACACGAGTTTCCAACTTTTACATTTCTAAATTGTCTTCGATATTACCCATCAGAGATGACCAGGTCAGTTTCGTTTGATGGTTACTCTCAGTTGAACTAATTTTGTGGATCCACTCCCTTCGAAAGAGTAATTTACTCCAACTGGAGACTGTAAATTCGTGCTCTCCGAATAAATGTGAGTTAAGATGATGTGCTCTTCGTTGCGAATAGAAGAGAGAATAATGGCTCTATGGATTTTGTCAATGTTGTGAGGAGTCTGATTTGGCAAGATGCAGCACTTTCATATGATGCAGGGACTTAGCTCTTCTGTCCAAAATTAATGGAAAGGAAGGCGTTGTTGCTACACTTAAATTCATTGTGGCATTCATTCAAAAAGACTGTTTTCATTTTCAGCCAAAGCATGGTTAAGAGTCAAGTACATCATTTAATTCATTAGCTTGAAGTTGATTGTAAGTATGATACCTTGCTCTGATGTTTTTCGTCATAGGACGGATGAAAACTTAGCATGTTTTCACCGCAATCGAAGAAGATTACCTCGGAAACAGCATCAAAATGAAGGTTTCAGTAAAGTTAATCGGCAACTGGCCAAGAGAAATCCGCCGTCATCTTCTGGTGGAATCGACATTTGAATCTCTTCACAAAAAAAACCTATTGAGTTTAGTGGAAAATAGGGAATTT